GACAAATTTTAAAACAGAGAGAGAGAAAAAAAGACAATTTAAAGAAAGAATGAGGGGGAAAAAATAAATTTGATAGAATGGAGGGAAGCGCTCCGACCCCATGTTTTTTACAGGCGGTAGGGGGAAATGAGTAATGAACAATAGCATTTTTTACAGCTGCCGACTCCGACTCAAAAAAAATTTTAAAACCACACCCGGGACACAAGCAAGCTTGCTGAAGGGGGATAAAAGCAGTTTTATAAAGTATCTAGTGACTATATATTGTAATTTTATTTAGAAACCAGAAGCAAGAAGGGAAGGCAGGAATGAAGGAAGTACAATGAAAAGGGAAAGGACAAAAGAATGAAAAATGAAGGAATGTAGAAAGAGGTAATGCCCCCCAGGTAGGGAAAAATGAAGAAAATTTAAAAGGAGGAAATGACACACACCATTTACCGGGTAACTACATCACAACTGACTCTAATACTTGAAGAAAAATGTCCCAGACGAGGTGTTTTTCTTTTCACATAAAAAAAAAAATTTTAACAAAAATGAGCACACACTGTTTTTATGTGTGGGGTGTAAAACACCATTGTGTATGACACCATTTTATGTTTGAGGAGTGAAAACACCACTGGTATGACACCATTTTTTTAGGGTTTAAGAGATAAAACACCACTGTGTAGACCCATGTTTCAGAAGTTCCACAAGCTGCAGAATTTCTAGGGAGTATTTCAGTCTGCATTTTTGGTATAATATTATAAACAAAGAAATAAAAATTTTTTTGTATTGTTTGTTTTTGTAAACAAGTTTTGAAAACAATATATTGAAAATTTATGTTTGTGTGCTTATTGTGTTGTATACAACATTTTAGGCCCCCTCTTGTTCATAATTTACATTGCCCTTGAAAAGGATTACAGTACAGAAAGTTTGCTGAGAACAAAGATAGGCCAATAATCCTCAGGAGATATCAATAAACCCCCAGGACATTTAAAAAATTAATGTTTTGGGTCTGAGAAATGCAGATGAATTTTAATTGGATAAGGTAAGGTATTGCCCTTGGTAATAAAATAACCCAAGCAAAATTCTGGGTAAAGTAGAGCTTGGTCAACAGAATGTGAAAAAAGACTTGGGATCCTGGTAAGCAAAATCAAAGCCAGACAGCAGTGCCCAGGTGCGCAACAAGGCCAACGATTATTTGGTTTATCTCAAAATAAAGAAACAAAGCCCAAAAAGTTTTTTACAGCTCAAAACACTGTGAGGCCCTCATTTAATTAGCGCTCATTTTGGTCCCCCCACTACAGGATGGGGTATAACCATTAGGAACATACAGAGAAGAAGACAAAATGATTACTGTGTAAGGAACCCCCGGAAGATAGACTTAAAGCCTTAAACCCACCCTGGAGAGGGGTAGAAAGAGGGGGGATATCATTTAAGGATAATGGGTGAAAGGGCATAAACAAGGGGGACTTATAAAGTACGAGGGGGTCGAACCAGGGAAGAAACCCGGAATAATGGTTTAATTTGGGAAAATTTTAATTAGAAAGGACATAGGTAAGTACTGGTTTTCTAACAGAGTTGTAGATGCGTGGAACAGTCTTCCCAGTGGGGTGATAGAGGTTAGGACCTTGGGTAGCTTTAAGAAGAGACTGGACAAATATAGGAGTGGGAGGGGCTGGGTTTGATTGGTGTTGGGGGGTGCGGGAGTTGTTTCTTGAGTAGCTTTAGGTAGATGTCGTTTTGATAAGGACCTGCCTCGTATGGGCCAGTAGGCCTTCTGCAGTGTTCCTACATTCTTATGTTCTTATGTTCTTATATATGTACATTGCACCTTACTTTGGTCTCATAGGCCACATAAGTTATCTGAAAAAATAAAATAGTGAAAAAAACAACAAACCTTCAAATACAAGTAAACTAAAGTTTACCGGGTGAGCGGCAGTCGCCGCTGTTGCCATACGCGGCTCATTTTCTGCAAACTTCATGCCTCTATATCTCCGTAAGTACTGATGGGAAAAATTTTTTTTGGGGACTAAAACAATCAGAAAAATAATCTTAACATTTTCATAAGAAAAAATAATTTTTTTTTTCGAATATTTTGCGACACCAGGAGACACTTCAGGATTGGGCCTTTCGACAGGTAGGATTTTTTTTTTTTTTTTTTTTTAATATTTTTCTACACTGAGACCAAGTTTGGGATGAGGGGTCTCGACAGTGAAAGGGTTAAGCAACAAAAACAACATTATCATTTTTATTTTTGCAAGATACGGATATCTAAAAAAAAAGTTGTTCGGCTTTTCGGGGGCCCCAGGAATGTAACCCTACTTGCCCCATAAGTTCTTCAGTTTATATGACACGGATTTACATAACATGGCATTTTCAAGAACGTAACTACTGTGAAATATGAGGGTCTACTGTATATAAAATAGGCAATAACTTAAAAACACTTGAAATTTTGAGAAAGGTTCCATAATTGAGAAATGCAGAGTTAACAGAGGATGTAAACAAAGTGGCATGAGGATGCCATAACAGTAAATCAGGGAGTTGCATAAAAAAATTTTTGGTTATATGTAATTTGATATGTCTGTATTACTGAATTGCTGTAAAGTGCGGCCCTCCTGCAGAAATAAAAAAAAACTAAATTAATGAATATTATCACATAGTAGACTAACAGAAATGGAAACAATGAAAGTAAAACAGTTTAGTAACAAAAATCTAAATTAGCAAATATGTATTATAATCATTATATTTATGGGAAAAAAGGTGAAGCTATAAGGTGACATACAATGTCAGAAGAATGGTAGGGGGAGGATTAATCAGATTTGATCAGAGGATGGGAAACCGCTTTAATTCCTTGGATCAAGAGCCCTTCACTGGCATTAAGGCATGCCCTGTCCTCTTTTCTCTTAACCCTTTGAGGGTTTTGGTCGTACTAGTACGTCTTACGCATAGGGGTTTTTGTCGTACTAGTACGCATAAATTCTGGCGGCCTCAAATCTCGCAGGAAAAGGCTGATAAGCCTAGATGTGAGAGAATGGGTCTGTGTGGTGGGTGTGCGCAGTAGGAAAAAAATCTGGGACCCAGTGGTGCATTGTGGGAATGCCATCATAGTACACAATTTCCACCGTGCCCTGCGGTAAGAAGTTCCTCACTCCACGGAGAATTGGGACACTTTTGTTCCCCAGTGACAGTTCTAATACAGATGGAAGTGACAGTGAAGATGAGTTTCAAGGTTCTGGTGAGGTTTTGACCGAAACTAATGACCATAATATGGGTAATAGTGAGGAAAACCCAGACAACCCACAGCCTTCCACCTCTGGTGCTGGGCCGTCGTTCAATTGTACCAGAATCAAAGAGGAAACTCCTATTTTCCAAAATCCCAGACTCAGATGTGAGCATTGGTGATGATAATGATAGTGATTATGAACTACAAGCTCTTCAAACTTGTTCCAAGAATGGAGGAGGAGGAGGAGGCAGAGGAGGAGGAGGCAGAGGAGGAGGAGGCAAGAGGAGGAGGAGGCAAGAGGAGGAGGAGGCAAGAGGAGGAGGAGGCAGAGGAGGAGGAGAGGAGGAGGAGGAGGGGAGGAGGAGGAGGAGGAGGAAGAAGAGGAGGAGGAGGAGGAGGAGGAGGAGGAGGAGGAGGAGGAAGAGGAGGAGGAGGAGAGGAGGAGGAGGAGGAAGAAGAAGAATACGTAATGATAACAATAATACCTAATAATAACACATAATAATAATAATACATAATAATAATAATACATAATAATAATAGGTAATAATAATAATATGTAATAATAAATGTTCACCCATGACAGTAACAAGATAAGGGGAGATAACATCTGATAAGTGCTGAGGTTTGATGAGGGTAAATGAGGGTAGAGCTGATGCCAAAAGATGAGATGAACATCGCCCTCCCTTTGTTTTTGCTGGTATACTAACATTTCTGTCTGTCTATTTGCCTGTCTGTCAAGCTCCCTGTCTATCCATCTAGCTCTCTGTCTCAGAGAGCCACAAGACTGCGTCATCACTTTTACTCACATCTTCAAGCAGAGTATAGCACTTTGTCTGGGTTTCTTGGGTTATCCTAGGTAATTTATACTATGTATACTTGTATTATGTGTACCTGTGAGACAGAGATAGACAGACAGATAGAAAGAGAGAGACAGATTGAAAGAGATAGAATGAGGGAGAAAGATAAAACACCATTGTGTATGACACCATGTTTCAGAGTTCCACAAACTGCAGAACTAATAGGAATATGTTCAGTGACTGTATATTGGTATATATATTATAGAACAATAATAATAAACAATGTTTTTGTATTGTTTGTTTTTGTAAACAAGTTTTGTAAACAATAATTGATAATTATGTTTGTGTGCTTATTGTGTTGTATACAACGAGTGTATATATGTACATTGCACCTTACTTTGGTCTCATAGGCCACATAAGTTATGTGAAAAAATAAAATAGTGAAGAAAACAACAAACCTTCAAATACAAGTAAACCAAAGTTTACCGGGTGAGCGGCAGTCGCCGCTGTTGCCATTCGCGGCTCATTTTCTGCAAATTTCATGCATCCATATCTCCGTAAGTATTGATGGTAAAATTTTTTTGTTTATCCTATAATGTTTAGAAAAAAAAACTCTATTTTTTCATAAGAAAAAATAATTTTTTTTTTTTTGAAATTTGGCCGACCCTGAGAACGAGTTTCGGAGAGGGCCTGTCGACCCTCAAAGGGTTAAGGGAAATCAACAAACAAAAGCATCAGGATCATAAAATGCTGTACAATAGTTCTATGAAGATGATAGGTCAATAACTAATGAGTTTGGGTAACTCCCAGAAAAATTTCATAGAGCAGAGCAAATGAGGAGGATGTAACAGGGTGGATGGACAGCAATGAGCTATTTACAGCCAACTATTAATAGAATCAATGAACACAGTTAACTGACATAAGTTATATCAATACATGAATGCTAACAATGTAAATGCAATTAATACTATAAAAATTTGGCTGGATGCCACATTCACCTCAGAGCATCGTTTTCTGACATTCCGGGCATTCAGGTATGCTTTTGCCAGTTGTATCCAGAATTCTTCAATAGGCTGATCATCTCCATTACTATGATGGGCAACCAATACTTGTGGATACAGCTCGAGCAGTGTGCGTGATTCATCATCATTCCAACTCAACTGCGAATGGACTAAAATATTTTGAATTAAATTTCAGTGATTATATATTATTTATTTCTTAAAATTTTTCATTATATTTAAGTATTGCATTGCATACCGGTTGAACTCACTCAGGCAGTAATAACTTACAAGATGCACTACACTGCACAATTTTTTTTTTTAAATCTGTACTTAGTCAAGCATATCTTTCAATACACTGCAAGCTGTACCTTTACCCTTAAATTGTCCAAACGCAGATCTACGTTGATGTGCAAAGTGCTCCGAACGTAGATCTACTTCTGATTTTACATGCTTTCAAATGGTTCTAGAAAATGAAGGTCGGGGTGTTACACACGTCAACATAGATTTATGCTTGGACAGTTTAATTAAGGGTTAAAGGCTACCTTAATCATAACTTTCTAATCTTATGCCCACCTTTTCATGTACTTTACAGTTATCTGTATCCAATAATAGAGTAATATTCCTAATACAGCATTTTCATCCCAACATAATTCCTGGTATTACTAAATTTAACCTTTTCATTGCCAAAACCCTTGGTCACAAACTTGCTCTCAGAGTCGAAGAATTTAACCCTTTCAGGGTCCAAGGCCAAAATCTGAAGTGGTGCTCCAGTGTCCAAGAAATTTAAAAAAAAAAAAAAAAAAAAAAAAAAAAAAAACTCACAGAATTAAAGATAATCTTTCCTCCGTAAGCCATGCGTGTTGTAAAAGTCAGCTAAAATGCCAGGAACAATGGGCTAGCAACCCCTTTTTCTGTAATAAATTACTAAAAAGAATAAGAAGAAAATTGTCAAAGTGGGAAGTCTGAATGTGCGTGGATGTTGTGCAAATGATAAGAAAGAGATGATTGTGGATGTTATGAATGAGAAGAAGCTGGATGTCCTGGCTTTAAGTGAAACAAAGCTAAAGGGGGTGGGAGAGTTTCAGTGGAGAGGAATAAATGGCATTAGGTTAGGGGTTTCAAATAGAGTTAGAGCTAAAGATAGAGTAGCAATAATGTTGAAGGATAAGTTATGGCAGGAAAAGAGGGACTACAAATGTATTAATTCAAGGATTATGTGGAGTAAAATAAAGGTTGGATGTGAAAAGTGGGTTATAGTAAGGGTATATGCACCTGGAGAAGCGAGAAGTGTAAAGGAGAGAGAGAGATTTTGGGAAATGTTGAGTGAATGCGTGGGGAGTTTTGAACCAAGTGCGAGAGTAATGGTGGTTGGGGATTTCAATGCTAAAGTGGGTAAAAATGTTGTAGAGGGAGTAGTAGATAAATTTGGGGTGCCAGGAGTAAATGAAAATGGGGAGCCTTTAACCCTTTGACTGTTTCCGACGTATAAATACGTCTTACGAGCCAATGTTTCTGACGTATTTCTACGCATAAATTCTAGCAGCTTCAAATCAAGCAGGAGAAAGCTGGTAGGCCCACATGTGAGAGAATGGGTCTCCATGGTCAGTGTGCACCATATAAAAAAAATCGGGGAGCCAGTGGTGCATTGTGGGAATGCCATTTCAGTTGTCCTTTTTCAGCATGTCTGCAGTAAGAAATATGTGATTCCAGCAAATCTGGGACTCTTCTTTTCCCCAAGTGATGCTCTAACACAGATGGAAGTGTCAGTGAAGTTCAATTTATGATTTGGAGGAGTTTGAGACCAAAAGCAATGGGGGAGGAGGAGGGGAGGGGGGGGAGGAAGAGGAGGAGGAGGAGGAGGAGGAGGAGGAAAGGAGGAGGGAGGAAGAGGAGGAGGAGGAGGAGGAGGAGGAGGAGGAGGAGGAGGAGGAGGAGGAGGAGGAGGAGGAGGAAGAAGAAGAAGATGTAATAATATTGTTCCCTTGAAGCAAAAAAAAAAAAAGTCCACCCATGACAGTGACAAGATAAGGGGAGATAACATCTGATAAGAGCTGACTTTGATGAGCTTTAAAGGAGGGTAATATTACATGACCATAGCCCCCCTTTGTTTTTGTGGTACACAAACATTTCTGTTGTCTTTTGTCTGTCTGTCAAGCTCCCTGTCTGTCCATCTAGCTCTCTGTCTAGAGAGAGCCACAAGACTGTGTCATCAGTTTACTCACATCTTCAAGCAGAGTATAGCACTTTGTCTGGATTTTTGGGGTTACCCTAGGTAATTTCCCACTATGTATACTTGTATTTATGTGTACCTGTGAGGACAGAGATAGGCAGACAGATAGAAAGAGAGACAGATTGAAAGTTTATAGAATGAGGGAGAAAGATAATTAGATAGAATGGAGGAGGGGAAGCAGCTCCGACCATTGTTTTGACAGGCGGGAGGGGGGAGTGACAAATGGGGAAAATATGTCACTTTGACAGCTGCCGACTTCTGACTCAAAACAATTATAAGCCACACTCTCGCACACAAAGACAAGGAGGAGGAGAAGGAGGAGGAGGAGGAGAAGGAGGAGGAGGAGAAGGAGGAGGAGGAGAAGGAGGGGGAGGAGAAGGAGGAGGAGAAGGAGGAGGAGGGGAGGAGGAGGAGGAGGAGGAGGAGGAGGAGGGGGGGAGGAGGAGGAGGAGGAGGGGAGGAGGAGGAGGAGGGAGGAGAGGAGGAGGAGGAGAGGAGGAGGAGGAGAAGGAGGAGGAGGAGGAGGAGAAGGAGGAGGAGGAGGAGAAGGAGGAGGGGAGAAGGAGGAGGAGGAGGAGGAGAAGGAGGAGGAGGGGAGGGGGGAAAAGGAGGAGGAGAAGGAGGGGAGGAGGAGGGGGAGGAGAAGGGAGGGGAGGAGGAGGAGGAGGAGGAGGAGAGGAGGAGGAGGAGGAGGAGGAGGAGGAGGAGGAGGAGGAGGAGGAGAAGAAGAAGAAGGAGGAGGAGGAGGAGGAGGAGGGAAGAAGAAGGAGGAGGAGGAGAAAGGAGGAGGAGAAGGAGGAGGAGGAGAAAAAAAGGGAGGGGGGAGAAGAGGAGGAGGAGGAGGGGGAGGAGGAGGAGGAGGGAGGAGGAGGGGGGAGAGGAGAAGGAGGAGGAGGAGGAGGAGGAGGAGGAGGGGGATGATTCTTTGTTTGTTTTTGTAAACAAGTTTTGTAAACAATATATTGATAATTATGTTTGGGTGCTTATTGTGTTGTATACAACGAGTGTATATAATATACTTTGCACCTTACTTTGGTCTCATAGGCCACATAGTTATGTGAAAAAATAAAATAGTGAAAAAAACAAAAAACCTTCAATTACAAGTAAACTAAAGTTTACCGGGTGAGCGGCAGTCGCCGCTGGTGCCATACGCGGCTCATTTTCTGCAAACTTCACGGCTCTATATCTCGGTAAGTACCGATGGCAAAATTTTTTTTTTTGGACTAAAACACTCAGAAAAATAATCTTAACATTTTCATAAGAAAAAATTATTTTTTTTTTTTTAATATTTGGCGACATAGAATGACAGTTTCAGAGAGGGGCCTGAAACAGTCAAAGGGTTAATTGAGCTATGTGTAGAAAGAGGTTTCGTAATAAGTAATACATATTTTATGAAGATGATAAATAAATATACAAGGTATAATACAGCACGTAATGAAAGTACAGTGGACCCCCGGTTAACGATATTTTTTCATTCCAGAAGTATGTTCAGGTGCCAGTACTGACCGAATTTGTTCCCATAAGGAATATTGTGAAGTAGGTTAGTCCATTTCAGACCCCCAAACATACACGTACAAAAGCACTTAAATAAATACACTTACATAATTGGTTGCATTGTGAGGTGATCGTTATGCGGGGGTCCACTGTACAGTGGACCCCCGAGTTTCGTGAATAATCTGTTCCAGAGAGGCTGCCGAAAGTCAAAATTCACAAAACTCGAAACCATTTTCCCCATAAGAAATAATGGAAATAAAATTAATCTGTTCCAGACACCCAAAAATATTAAAATAAAATATTTTTTTTTTCAAATTAACCCTTTGAGGGTCGACAGGCCCTCCCCGAGACTCGTTCTCAGGGTCGGCCAAATTTAAAGAAAAAAAAAATTTCTTATGAAAAGATAGAGGATCTTTTCCCAATCATAATGACACCAAAAGTATGAAATTTGATGGAAAACTTACGGAATTATGCTCTTGCGAAGTTAGCGGTCTCGGCGATGTTTACGCATCGGCGATTTTGCCCACTTTGAGCCTCATTTTCGGCCAATTCCACAATACTAGTCGACAAAACACATGAATATTTCGCTAGAACTCCATTTTTTCTATCGAATGAGTGCAAGAAAGCATCCATTTACCAATTTCAACTATCCAGTACAGTGGTCAGAATTTAGCAATTTTGCCAATTTCACACAAATTTCGAAAGATGACAATTTCCGAATAGGGTCCAGAATAAACAAGAAAGACATTCCTGGCACTAAAATGGCATTTCCTTTGCTCATTAGTCACATCTCAAGGCCCCTCTTACATTCTTTTGCTTTCCACTTTGAATTTTTATTCTCACAAAAAACTGAAGATTCTTTTATGCAGACTACTGCATAAGTGTAAAAAATGGTATAAATAATATTGGCGCACTTGCGAAAAAATATTAGACTCACCAGTTGACGTGTATTGGACGCTTGGCATGATTTGTTTACTTTTGAACTTTGGTAAAAATTGAACATTTCTGCTACTTTGAGCTCAATTTCAAGGTACTTTTCATTGTAAAACCAATCAAAATCATCTCAATTTCTCTAACATGTCTTCCATTCTAAAAAATGAGACCAAGAAAACTAGAATACAACAATAAATACCATACGAAAATACAGTGCAAAGTCGCTGTTTTATTAAAAAAAAACTGTGAAAGTTTTTTTTTTTCTGAGTATGCACTGTCTGCTGCAGGATTTTTTTGTACTGTGCACACTGACCACACAGACCCATTGTTTCATATGTAGGCCTACCAGCGTTCTCCCACTAGATTTGAGGATTTGAGGACACTAGAATTTAGGCATACTAGTACGTCAAAAACCATGGGTCGTAAGCCGTACTAGTATGGCCGAAACCCTCAAAGGGTTAAATGAAGATTTACATACTGAAATCAATGAGAAATCAAGTACATGCATATAAA